TATGTTGTCTTACGGCCGTCCAGCTGGGCGAGTGAGGTCCGGGAATTCGGAGATGAGGCTGTCAACCGGTGTGCCGCCAGTGTTGGTCTTGATGCTCGAGATCTGCATGCTGGCGGCTTGGGCCAGTACGGATAACGGCATGACCCTGTCCATGAGACGCTGGTTTTGGCAGTCCACCAACAGGCCAAAATGGGACAGGAAGTCCACACCGATGATGGGATGCGTGACGTCGGCCACTACAAAATGCCACGTGAAATCCCGGCGGATACCCAAGTTGAGGCTGAGAGGCAGCCATCTGTAGGTGTGGATGGTAGTGCCATTAGCAGCGCTTGCTGCATAACGTTGGTCCAGCTGCGAGATTGTGTAATAAAATTTGGTTTGTTCGTCTCTGATGTTGGCCAATGAAAACTGTGCCTCAGCCTGGGCGAACCATACGGCAGGCTGCTCGGCCCAGAACGGCGGGAGCCACACGGTCACTCTAGGGGCCTCGGTTGGTGTTGTGCTGTCAACGGTCGCCATACATTATCGGGGTCACCAATGTGGAGTCGTTATTGATTTCTATTTGGTTATAAATTAGATAGACGTGATTTACTTCATTGTTGACGCTAGTTAGACACTATTAGTTTTTTACTAGTTCTCCTTTCTATTCCATGCCGTGGGGTCATGGACCTGAGTATTAGTTTGGTTTCGTGACATAAATTTCTACGGCTGTATCTATCGTGGTTCCACCCTTGTATGCGTTTGCAACAAATTGTAATATATATTTTTCTTATTAGCTCTCATGGACTTAGCCTGGTCTCAGGTTTTTATGGTCTTTGTGTTTGGCGGAATACGATGTCTAGTGCTTGAAGGTAGATATTTTTGAGAAATCCGGCAGGAAAGGTGTTTCCTGATCTGCTGGATGGAAACAAGCAAAGTTTCCGAATTGTCGTATTTTTTGAGACGTCCAATAGAAGAGGTGTTATCCCTTATCTGATGGATGGCAACAGTTGAAGTTTCCGAATTTTCGTATTTTTTAAGACAAGCAATTGAAAGAGTTGCTTTTCTACATCTGAGGATGGAAATAGGTCCACCTTCCGAAACGTATTTTTCAAAGTTACCTTAACACCAGAACGATGTATGAAGTCCGAAAACCCAATATTTTTGTGTTATACACCATCGATCCTATAATAACTACCTGGTCAAAGAGTTGTCCTCCAGTTTTCAAATATATTTCCCTCTGACTTGAACATATTGTGTGATTTCTGTATTAACATGCAGGATTTTGATATTTGTATACTACAAAGAGTTTGTTTTTTTTCATTAATTTCTGCTTCATATTGAACACAGGCCACATAAGATTCACAGAGCATTCTGCAGTGTTTGCTGCTGAACTGTTTTTCCTGGTAGTATGAGAAATTGTTTTTTTTTAGTTGGCTGCTCAAAGAAGGGCTCCAGACTCTTGGTTACACAATACATCATTGTGCTGTCTTGGTAGCACTTGTTCTGGATGGTGCCTGTTTTCATTTCCAACAGACTTGGTCTTGTGCCTCTTTTTTTTTTTCTTGTGTTGTTTGCTTCTCTACACAGCATCTGGTATTCCTTGAGCAATATTATATACAAGGTGTTTCACGACTTTAGGGCATAACTGCAGGAGGTGATTTCCTGGGTCTTTGTGATCAAAAATGTTCATATAAACATGTGTCCGATTTTGGACGGTTACGGAGTTATGACCGTTTTTTCATTCCCATACACGCCGTCATATGAACCGCGTGTCAGCTGGCAGGCCGCTATTTTTAGCCAGCTACAGACAGCGTTCTCGTTATCTCGACACTTGAGACATACCTAGGCGGGAGGGGGGGGATGTCCGGCGCGGTTCACAACCGAGCGGCAGCCTGTGTTGCGGCCGGCGGTGACATTTTCGAAAATCAGCTTTAAGCACCAATCAATTCAAATTAAAGGTAATTTCTCGAAGTTAACTTTGCATTTATACTTTAAATGTATCATGTATTATGCCGGTTTATTGTCAGTAATCGTTACCTTCTATTCTGAGTTTAAAACGGTCATAACTCCGTAAGCGTCCAAAATCGGACACATGATTATATGAAATTTTTTGATCATAAAGACCTAGGAAATGACCTCCTGCAGTTATGCCCTAAAGTCGTGAAACACCCTGTATACAATGACTATCCTGGGTGATGACCTTCTCTACATATTATAACTTTAATGCAGGAAGAATTTATACAATTTACAAATACATCCTTGCAGTAATGTGTGTTTGTTAACATTACATATTACAAAACTCTTTAAAAACATTGTTTTGTAGAGTCGTTATTAAATAGCTGAGTAATATCAAGGGTTGCCGGTGGTCTAGAGGTAAATTGTATGGTTTAGAAGTTATGTGGTTCGAAGACATGACCACTTTTCTGAAAAAAAAAAAAAGAATTAAGAAATTTGTGCATGTAGGAAGCAAGTGGTACTATATGAGGAAGGTGAAGGTAACAAATTTGTACAGATCTGGTGGTACGTGGGTAAGACATTGGCGTAGAATTGGGAAGGTACCTGGTTTTAGACCGCGGTGTCTTTTGGCAATAGAAATTGAAAAGTGAATAAACGAATACGATTTTTCTGCAGCTTTAAACCAAGTCGTATAATATAAGAACGATCGCAGTCAACTACGACATACATGTTCTGGTGGTCTAGCGGTAAGCCACTGGCGTTGTAAATGTAAGGTTCGTGGTTCGAAAACAGAAGTATTTTTGTAATGAGATTTTTATGGAATTATATAGCGATATGTAACATAAGAGGAAGATTAAAGCTCAAAAATTTCTGTGGAATCGGTGGCGTATTGGTAAAACACCGGCGTAGTGAACAAGAGTTTGAAGGTTCGAGACCAAGTATAGTTTTGTGATTTAGAAAGTAAGTTGATTGATTTTTCTGGAATTATAACCGAAGGTGCAGCTTAAGAGGAAGATAAAAGAAAATAAATTTCAGTGGTGCTGGTGGCTTAGGGGTAAGACATCAGTCTAGTGTTCAGGAGGCCCCTGGTTCGAAACCAGTAGGATTTTTGTGAAAAATAAAATGGAAAGAAATTAGGAGATAGGGTAAAGGAGGAGGGAGAGATAGAGGGAGGGACCGGGGTGAGGGAAGATTTCTTCT